ATCAGCAATGATATCCCTAATTCCTTATCTTCGGAATCTGACTTGCATTCTGACAGATCCCTGTCAATGTACTAATGTTGTTGAATCATTTTCAGCAAAACTTTTCTTTTGTGTGATATTACTGAAATTGTGAGATAATTTCCGCCTTCTGTTGGATCATCTTTCTTTGGAATGGGCATCAATATGGATCTCTTCCAGTCAGTTGGCCAGGTAGTTGTTTTCCAAATTTCTTGCATACACAAGTGAGCACTTTTAGCATTACATCCATTTGTTAAAACATCTCAATGGGCATTCCATTCATTCCTCAAACCTTGTTCCTCACCAATTCCTTCAGTGAAGTTTGGACTTCTTCCTTCAATACCACTGGTTTTTGAGCATATGCTCCCACATGAAATGGTTGAACATCAGACAATTCTTCTTGATACAGTGACTCTGTGTATTTCTTCTGCTTTCTTTTGATGCTTCCTACATCAGTCAATATTTTGCCCATAGAATCCTTCCATACTTCAACTCAAGGCTTGAATTTTTGTTCAGTTCTTTCAGCTTGAGAAATTTTGAGCATTTTTTTTTTCACTTTTGATTATCAAACTCCACGTCTTTACACATTTCATTATGATACTTTACTTTGTCTTCTCAAGCTGCCCTTGGAAATCTGTTCAGCTCTTTTACTTCATCATTTCTTCCATTCACTTTAGCTAGTCTCTGTTCAAAAGGGTCTTTTCTGAATCCATTTTGGTCTTTTCATTCTTTCCTGCTTTTAATGACCTTTGCTTCTTAAACATCTCTAAGTCTTAGATTGATATTTAATTTTCTGTCTCTAATTCCTACATTTTAGAAATTCATATTATTCATCTGTTAGTTCCTTGCCTCCGTGTTCTCAAAGAACTTCTCAGGTATATGCACTGCATCTCTGATTTTACTTTTATGTATTATAAATTCTGCCCTTCAGTTTGCCTAATTTATATTTGCATTCTAATATTGCACTTTTACCCTCAAATCCTTTCTAATTTCTTCCATCACTCTTAATATTATCCTTTCATCACAGCTTGATCTTGCCTTATAAATCTACACTCGTGCTTAAAAGAGAATAGGTCTTATTGAAGATATTGGTTATACCAAACATTTTTTCCTAGTCTCTAGAATAAACTATTTTCAAAGCATCATTTCTTTTAAGTATCTCCCCTCTTTTTGTTCCAAGAAGGCTTGCGGTTCAAACCCACCAGCCACTCCTTGGAAGGAAGGTTGGACAATCTACTTCTGCAGTGATACTACCTCGAAAACCCAAGGAAGGGTCACTATGAATCGGGTCTGACTCAACGGCACATAACAATAACATGCATTATTATTAGTTTTTTGGGGTTTTTTTTTGTAAAGTTTTCTGTTTATTCATCTTCAAATGAAGTGACATCCAGGCCCAATGTCTATGAACAGAGTATTTTGCTGGGCCTTCTTTTCTAGTTGAACCTCTTTTTCAACTCTGCAGCTGAGTGAAAGCCTTAGATGCCTAACTGCTTCCCCAGTCTTCATTTATGAAAGTCTTCTGACTAAAATAGAATATACTCCTTTGCCATCACCTGTCTATAAAATCCCCAAATGACATTCCTTTCAATGTTTCCTTTGCCTCCAAATATTTTTGTTGATGGTAAACAGATATCTCAGGTTGTAATTTTCTACCTGGGGTGAGATTGCTCACCTGCTTCCTGCCCTGCTGTTTTACTGACTGTATCTAAGACATATCCAGGAGTCTGAGGAGACAGCATTCTGGCTTCCTAAACAAGTAACAGTTTCTTATTAGAGAAAACCATGAAACAGAGGAACAAGGTAACTGCCCCCTACTTTTCATGTGAAAAAAACTAGATGGATCACTGATTTATATTTTCATTCCACTGACTCTGAAATATAAATAAATACTGTATATATGCATATTTATACTACATGGTTCTAAGTTCATGTCTGCCCAGAAGTACCCTGAAAGAAAGACCTGCTGATCTACTTTGGAAAAATCAGTCATTGAAAATCCTATAGAGCAATTCTACTCTGTATTGACTCAACAGAAACTAGTTTGGTTTGGCTGGATTTCGTATATATATGTATATATTTTATATATATTATATATATATAATATAAATTCCTTCTAGGTTTTTTTTCCTACTATTAATTGCCACTGTTGGTTTTTAATGTTCTTCAGTTTTTGTCTTTTTAAAGTCTTTATGTGCATTTTACAGTTAAGTGACAGGAGGTTTTAATAGCTAGACATATGCTATGCTATTTTAAACTATAAATTCTTGCAAATTATAGTTTATAAAGCCACCAGAATTTTATAAAGATTGGATTTTAACTCTTAAAAATATTCCAGATATAAATAGTTTGCAAATAGACTTGTGGAGGCCCAGTAACATAAAATAAGGCTATGAATTAAACTATTGATTCTCTGTAAGCAAGAAAACTATTTCTAAGTGCTCATTCAATTCAAGTAACTATTTCATCTTTAAAATTTTCTAGAACTTCTTTAATCCTTATTTTTTAAACATTTAATACATAAAATAAGATTAATTTATAATCTACCCTTTAATGTCAATAGTTTGCATGCATATCATTTACTACATTAATATTCTCATGAATGTATCCCTGGATACAATAATCTCTTTATTAACTCTTCATAGTTTTCCAGTAGTGCATTCCACCATAAATTAATATATCCAGGTGGCCACAAATAGCTACTAAAACAGTGTCATAAATTCTATTTCTATTAAACAGTGTCAGAAATTCTAGAATATATTTTGTTAGATTTTTAAAACATGTTTATTCATCAAAATTTTTTCTCTATCTCAAGGCCAACTAGACAAGCCAGATATACACTGCAATAGGTCATAGCAATTAGCCAATAACCATATAATGCCATATGCTTTTTAATATTTATAATTAATGTATTATATAACATCTTACCTTAGCATTTATTTAAATCATTGCATAATAATAATTCTATTTTACAAGGTATAAAAGATTTCAGGGCTTCCCTTAAAAATGTACACTTCTAGTTCATAGGGTTTATAAAGTAGATTAAAATGCTCTTTTCAGAAATTATTGTTCTTGGAATCACCCAAGCTGCCCATTAAAAATTCAGATTTACAGGCCCAACAGGAGACCTATGGAATCAGAATCTTTAGACATGAATCAGTTTTTCTTTTTTAACAAGTTCTTTCTATAATTTCTTACCCAAAAATTTGAAAATCACTGCTCTAAAATTCTAGAAAGAATATTGATGGTCTAAAAATTGAACCTGAGGAAACAAGGAAGGCTCTGATTTTATATTGCAATCCATTCTAAGGAACTTCAAGTCACCAACCAAGATTGAATTTCAGAAGTCCATTAGCATTTATTTTATCTGAAACAATCAGTTTGGTAAAAGAGTTCTAAAGTTCTACTAACCCAAGTTTATACTTGGATAAACTTACATTATCTACACAGTTTACCATGTGGAAATGTAGTGAACCATTCACAAAAGCAACATTTCCCTAGAGATTTCATTTGATCAACTAACAAAAGACACATATTCAGATTGCAGAATGTTTCTCAACAACCAGGGAGAAAATTAGAATCAGATGTCAGACATTTTGTTAATTTTCACAGTAGTTTCACTTTTCATCCATTAATAAGGGAGCTCAGGTAGCATAGTGCCTAAGGCACTTGACTGCTAACCAGAAGGCTGGCGGTTCAAATCCACCAGCCACTCCCCAGAAGGAAGGTTGAACAATCTACTTCTGTAGTGATACCGCCTCAGAAACCCAAAGAGGGTCACTATGAGTTGGGTCTGACTTGATGGCACATAACAACAACAACAAGAAGCCATTAATAACATTCAATAAGCTAGCTTGAAACTCAAGGGCCATTTGCTTGGATACTCTCATTAAAAAATCATATAAAAACTTTACCTCAGACATGTTATAAAGTTGTTTCCAATGCCATAACCAAATAGGCAGATCCAGTTCTAATATAACCAGACTTCTACATTAGAGATTCAAAATGAAATATTCTGCTGAGGCAACTTCATCTTTCAGTTTAACAGCAAAAAACTGCCAATGGTGATTTTATCATTACATTAAGACTCCCAGCTGGCCTATCGTCATGAAGTTGTTGTTGTTATGTGCCGTCGAGTCGGACTCGACTCATAGCGACCCCTCCTTGGGTTTCCAAGGCAGTATCACTACAGAAGTAGATTACCCCATCTTTCTTCCGAGGAATGGCTAGTGGGTTTGAACCACCAGCCTACTGGTTAGCAGTCAAGTGCCTTAGGCACTATGCTATCAGAGCTCCCAGTCATTAAGTAGCGACATATAATTCTAGTAGTGTGAAGATTTAGAGTGGCTTCTGATCTTCCTTTGATAGTCTTTAAAATGATATATATTTAATACCATGTTTTAACACTTGTTTTCAGCTATCTATACATTTCCTCTATTTAGACATAATTCAAAAATAGTTTGTTATTAGTTAATTATTTATTAAGTACTCAGTGTGTGCATGTGTGTAGATGTATATAAGACAAAGTTAAAAACAATTCTGCTTAAATTTCAGTAAAATTTTATCAAGATAAGAAGCATCAGAAATTTTTATTTAAAAAAGTAAATCAATTGTATACATAGATAATATAGTACTCAAACTGTAAATAAACTTTTTGAAAAAAATACTAAAACCAGCAGAATTTTCACATTTTAAAATAATTAAGGCATTCAAAGATAATTTCTATTCATTTCCTCCTAAAATAGAAGTCTTCAACTAGTAGGCTTAATTTTGTTTTAAACTCATGTACTTGTTAATGATGTGTCAGTTTCCAGTTTAGTCAGCTATAAATCACTGAGGAGACACAAGCATTCTTTATTCAAAACTGTTTGTCACTTTTTGTGCAGATACTGTCACTCTTCAGTGGCAGCCTTGAGACAACAGATATCTAAGGAAGAAGACAGAAAGATAACACAATTTAGAAGTTAACATACTTATAGTACCTTGTACTGTGAGAAACACGGAAGCAGACGATGATCCTCCTTCATTGGAAGCCATACAATGGTATTCTCCAGCATCACTGAACTTGACATTCTTGAGCTCCAACGAGAGGTTAGCCAACACCCTAATTCTCACTGGGTCTACAAGTTTGATATCTCTGTCATTCCTCCGCCAGGTTAGATTGTAATCCACTGCACTGATGATGAGACAGGTCAAAACTGCTCTTTCTCCAGGTGTGATTGTAATATTCTTAGGCACTTGGATGACAGGCGGGGGCTCTGTGTGAAATAAAAAAGTTTAGATCAAAAGATCCAAAAGCCATTTTGCTCACTTACAGATATGGCTTAAAAATTTAATAAGTATTTCTTTAAGCTCTAATATGTAATATGTAGTACAACAAAAGTTATTGATGAATGCATATACCTATGACCTCAAGAACACTATCATCTACTTTTAAGTATCATCTACTTTTATGCATTCAAAATGTAGTGCACATTTACGTATAAAAGAATACTCAAGTCAAATCTAAAAATTATAGACATATGAGGATCAAAAAGCCATGGTAAAAAGACAGAACTAGACTGTTTAGGATTGTGGAATAAGGCAAATTTTGCATGTGTTTTAAAGAAAGTAGAATTTACAGACTTTTTAAAAATTTACATATATATATACGTATATATGTATATACATATATATATGTGTGTGTATATATATATATGTGTGTGTATGTGTATATATATTATATATATATACTTAGTGTTTTAAAGAAAATAGCCTACAAAGATTTATAGACATGGCAAAGATATGCCAATATCTAATAGGAACAGAGTTAAAATCTCATTAATAAGACATGGTACAATAGTAGAATAAGATAATTGTTTCCCCAGCTGAGAAGGGTAACAGTTTTATTTTAGAAGGTGAAGTGAATAGTAGGGCAAATCCTTTAATAAAATCATATACACACAGACATGTACGCAAATGGCATTGTCATGTATATTTCAGAAGTTTTCAAAAAGCAAATTGCTAACTAAATATTTAACCAACATTTCTAAGTAGAATCACAGATTGATTGCTCTAGTTATTTTTGAAGTCCAAATGCTTCACAATCATCTGATGTGAGAAACCATTGTTGATCAATAATACAGCAATAAAAACAGGTGATCTACGTAGCTGGAAATCCATATGTCTGTGTTAGTTTAAGAATGAAAGAGTATCAGAATATTGAAGATTAAATTTTCTCCTTCTGCTATTTAAAACTGTATATAAATACAGATGAATATCTTAAGCCTGAATAAAATAAAGACTAGAAACAGATATACCAAAATCATAGTGGTTATCACTGAATGATAGAAATGTGGTAATTTCCATATTTCTCTTTGTTTTCCAAACACTTTGTAAAGAATATATGCTATTTTAAATTATAAAAAATAACATAACTTTTATCATTCTGCTATGTTTTTTAAATCTCATTAAAATAATTGGTGAATGATATGGGAAAAAAGTACCTGGCAAGGTTGGGCAATCTACTTTTGTAGAGAGACTGCCTTCAGAAACCCATGGAAGGGTTAATATGAGTTCAATCAACTCAAGAGCAGTGAGTGTGTGTTTTTTTTTTTTTTTTTTTTTCCTCTAACTATGGCTAAGCAACTCTGGTGGCACAATGCCTAAGGCATTTGACTCCTAAGCAGAAAGTTGGAAGGTCAAACTCACCAGCTGCTCCATGGAAGGAAGATAGGGCAATCTACATCCATAAAGATTTACTGCCCTAGAAACCCAATGGGGGTCGCTAAGAGTCAGAATGACTCTAGGGCAGTATGCTTTTTAGTTACAGTTGCCAGATAAAATACAGGAACCTTAGCTAAATCTGAATTTCATATAAATATCAAATAATATTTCAGCATAGTATGTCTCATGCAATGCTTGGGATATACTTACATGAAATTCAAATTTAATCCAGTATCCTGTGTTTTTATTGGCTAAAGCCATTATAAGCTAGGTGAACTGAAAGTAATTGTGTGTGTGTGTGCACATGTCCAACACTATCTAAAACTTTCACAGTCCACAAGGTATTATAAATATATGTGTGTGTATATATATACATATATGCACATATGTGATAGCTGGAGCTGTGTGTCAACTTGGCTGGACCATAATTCTGTGTGGTTTGAGCTGTTGTGGTGTGGTTGTTCCCATGATGGGATCAGATGATTATGTTTTGAGTGGCCAATCTGTTGAATGGGAGTTTCCCTAAGGGGTGGCTTGTTTCCAGTATATCTGTGGACATCCTGGGAGAGGAGACATTCTTCTGTGGATCAGGATTCTGTTGTGCTGTCTACAACTGTCCGTGAGTGAACAATCCACAATTTGGCCTGGAGATCTTGGATTCATCATTTGTTGGAGTCAACAGCCATTGTACTGCCTGCCAGCCTTGAGCTCCTCAGCACCTGTGGCTTCAAGAGTCAGGAAAAGCCTCCAGCTTGACGTGGAAAAGCCTCCAGCTTGACGTTTGATCCAGGAACTTTCGACTTGCCAGCTTCTATAAGTGTGTGAGCCATTTTCCTAAGATAAATTTCTCTATATATACATATATATAAGCTTTACTGGTTTTGTTTTGCTAGAGAACTCAGCCTAACACAACATAGGTATATAGTCCCCTTTTTAAATGAATTTCTTCAACTATACTAGGGATTTTAGGAGATATTTAAGTATTTAAAAGTCCTTATTATAAGCTTGTGGCAGATATTAGGTGAACACACCCAGATCCCGCTTCAGGATCAACACTCTCATTTCTCTAGCTGCCTGATTGTTGGTTGTTGATTCACTCCTCTTCCAGGGCAACTCCCATGAAGTGATTGCTCAATGAAGGAACAAAGGAACCAGACAAGGATGCCCTTGATCACCACTTCTATTCAACATTGTATCGGAAGCCCTAGCAACACCAATAAGGCAAGAAAGGGAAATCAAAGGCATTCAAATTGGTAAAGAACAAGCCAAACTATCCCTATTTGCTGATGATATAATCCTATA